TTCTTCTTCTTCTTCTTCTTCTTCTTCTTCTTCGCTGTTTGGTGAGGCAATTGAGGTTAAGTGACTTGCCCAGGGTCACACAGCTAGTAACTGTCAAGTGTCTGAGGCCAGATTTGAACTCGGGTCCTTCTGACTCCAAGGCCAGAGCTCTAACCACTGCACCACCTAGCTGCCCCCTGAGTTTCTTTTAAAGCAACAGAATCTTGGAAACTCCAGACAGCCACACTCCAGGAATAGCTCTGAGCATATCACGGTTCACACAGTAGTCATATAGTCAGTGGAAAAGATGATTGGAAGCTGCCCAGAGCAGAAATCCCTCTGTGGAGCTCTGTGTGATGCTTTCCACCCCCCTCAGTTCTGCATTTAGTTACTCACTACCTCATTTTTTAGATTTCTTTGCTTCTATGCTCTTCCTGCAGGAAGGTTTTTTTCCCCCCTTAAATGCTTCAAGCGAGTGCTTAGAGAAGCAATTTCAGGATTTCAAAATAAAATTTATGATTCTATAATCTGCGTATTTCCAGGTATCTCAGTGGGTTTTATGCATGTCAAACAAATCCAGTTAGCATTGGTACTTTGTTAGGGATACAAAGGCTGGTTTAACCATTTCAGCCCTCAGGGAGCTTACATTCTAGAAGTGGTGGTGGTGGGGAAACCATGTCTACAGATAAAGGGAAAAACTACATACAGAATAAATGCAAAGTAATTTGCCCAGCCAAGGAAAAGCAATAAGCCTTGGGGAAAAAGTGGGGTGAATTCTGTAGGAGGCTGCCTTTGAAGGGAGCTCAGAATTCTTAGAGGCAGAGGAGAGGAGGCTGAACATTCTATGGTAAATAGGCTGAAATAAAGGCATGGAGGTACGAGAAAGAATTTTAATAGCATGTTTAATTGGAATTCACATTCAATGTAAGCAATGCATATAGACCCTAGAAAGGGTTGGGAAATTGAAAAAACCAAACAACCCTCTAGACTGTCATAGGGAATCACTGGTATTGGGAGTCAGTGCTGGTTGCTTTATGTCTCAGTAATTAAAGTTACTCTGAAAAGAGGCATCATGGCGTCACGGATGGACGACTGGTGTCAGTCAGGAAAACCTGGGTTCAAATCCTGTCTTTGACCCGTACTGATGGTGTGACTCTGGGCAAGCCAGCTAAGCTCTTAAGGCCCCAGTCAACTGAATAATTATGGAAGACTCCTCTTCCTGAGTTCAGATCTGGCCTCAGACACTCATTAGCTGGGTGACCCTGGGCAAGTCACTTAACCCTGTTTACCTCAGTTTATACATCTGTAAAATGAACTGGAGAAGGGAATGGCAAATCACTTCTGTATCTTTGCCAAGAAAACTCCAAATCGCGTCACAGAGAGTCAGCCATGACTGAAAAACAATTAAACAAAAAGCTGCATTGATAGATGGAAGTTTTTATTCCAGTGAAACCAATCACAACATGTACATCTGGAGTCAGTCGTGAGCTCATGCTTGTTTTGTGACCGCAGTGAAATGAGTTAAAGGAAGACACATCCCACATTAGCCTGAACAAGGCTGATAACAAGAGCTACCATCAGAAATTCCTTGTGCTATCAAAGCACAAAGGGGAATAGCTCTGGAGGCTCTGAGCTCCCTTTTTGGCTGTCAGAGGCAACTCTTTCCACTAGTGGATGTACTTCAAGCATTGAATGTCAACTTATTTTCTTTCTTCTGCTGGTGGGGGATGGAAGAAGGCTCAGCTGAATAGGCTGAATGCAGGTCACGTATGATTGTTGTGTTCTTGCATGTTCTAGATTGGGGGGACACTAGAAAAGGGGTCTGTGTGTGGGAGCAATGGCCAGCAAGTGGTCAACAGTCCCTCCACCCCCCAACTTATTCTCTGTCATGTTTCAGATTTAAGAGTACTGCCCTCTCTAAAGATCTCTTCTTGCACTCTTGGTCAGATTTGTTAATAGTACTGCTCCGGGAAGGGATTTGCGGTGTAGAAACCTCTCCTTTCTAGCCACAATGCTAAGAACCTCTAAGCAGTGGACAGAAGAATGCTCGACCCCACTGGATAAATAAATGACTTTTCTCCAAGGAGAGGGAGACTGATACTTAATGGGACCAGCAAGCATGTGAATTTTCAGGGAAATTTCTAGCTCACTATAAATATTCATGGAAGTCCTAGATTTGGAACTTTTGCTGTTGTTCATTTGTTTGAGTCACAGCTAACTCTTCATGAGCCCATTTGGGGTTTTCTTGGTGAAGATACTGGAGTGATTTGCCATTTCCTTCTCCAGCTCATTTTTTTTTATAGATGAGGAAACTGAGGCAAACAGGGTTAAGTGACTTGCCCAGGGTTACACTGCTAGTAAGAGGCCAGATCTGAAGTCAGGAAGATGAGTCTTCCCTCCAGCCCTAGCACTCTGTGCACTATGATGCCACCTGGCTGCCCCAGAGTTAGAGCTAGAAGAGACCAGAGTCCATTGAGTCTAACTTTTTTCATTTTACAGATGAGGAAAATGAGGATCAGAGGTTAGTGACTTGCCCAGTCACAGAGCTGGTAAGTATCTGGGCTAATATGTGAACCCAGGTCTTCCTGATGCAGCTATAAATTGAAGATCTAATTCTTAACAGTAACCATAAAGAGAGACACACAAATATTCCAATAAACAGGATGTCATTAGATGACTTCTCCAGGCTTCACATAGGGCTACTTTGAGATAAGGCCATGCAGGCTTCCCTAAACTAAAGAGAGGGAAAGAGAAGAAGAGGGAGGAGGAGGAGGAAGAAGAGGAGGAGGAGGAGGAGACAGAGAGAAAGAGACAGAGAGACAGAGAGACAGAGACTGTACTAAATAAAGGACAGGTTAATTCTGAATGAAGAGCTCCAACCCAGGTAACAAGAGTTACCTTTTCAGATCTGTCATTGTGACAATGCTATCCCCTTAATCTGAGATCTGTTGTTTTGGGAGAAACCAAGTCAGGGGAAAGAGCAAATTATCTTGGCTCTGCTCTAGTACAGGCAACCGAGATGATAGTGATATTTTTAAAAATTTTTTTCTGATAGTGATGTTGTTTACTAGGCTAGCTAATAAGGCAGGGAAGTGGGGAACAGTATCAGCTGACCACATCATCGCCTTTCATGATAAGGCTTCATTCAACTTTAGCCACTTAATTGGTGGGTGAAGCCACACACTGAGAACTTGGCTATTGCCCTGGTTTTCTGTACTCTTTGGAGGGCTATGTCATTAAGTTTTCATGGAGAGCTCTCAATCTGAAAGTCTTGTAGGTACAGTAGGGAGATAGGTAATTAGTGGGGTCCACAAACACTCATCCTAAGGGGAGGTGAAGATGATTCTACATCTGAGGTAAGGCTCTTTCCCCTGACTCAGTTGGAACCCTCAGGGCTTTGCAAGATCCCATGACTAAGGCATGTAACACATCTGGAGACCAAGTGCCTCTTCAAAGGCACTTGAAGACTTGAGCTTCTTCAAACTGATGTAGGCTGATTATTGGATGGACAGATATGGTTCAGCAATAGGCCTGTACTGGGAACTTTTTCACTTGGTAGGCAGGACACAGGTAGAAGCATAGCTATTGAGACTTTCCAACCAGGGGATTCTTAACTTGGGATCATGGATAGATTTCAGAGGGTTCATAAACTCGAAGAGAGGAAAAAAATTCACTAACCCCTAACGGAAATGTGACATTTCCCCTTCAGTTATGAGTTTAGGCAACAAAGCCAGATACTGAGGAGTCTATAAGCTTCACAGACTGCTAAGGTGGCCTAGGACACACAAAAAGTTCAGAACCTTTGCTTTATACTATGATGGAAGCCTTCACCTGATGAGGCCTTAGTGGAGGGCTCTTTTCTAATTGGCAGGCAGCTAGGAGGCACAGTGAATAGAGTGATGGGGCTTGGAATTAGGAAGACCTGAGTTTAAATTTGACTTCAGACACCCACCTGTGTGACCCTGGGAAAGTCACTTAACTCTGTGTGCCTCAGTTCCCTCATCTGTAAAATGAGCTGGAGAAGGAAATAACCATTCCTGTATCTCTGCCAAGAAAATCCGAAATGGGGTCAGAAAGAGTAAACAGGACTAAAAACCACCGAACTTTCTAACTAGTGGAAATGACACGGGGATCATTACTGTTGTTAAAATCATTTTGACATTGAGGACTGCGGGATGAAGACACTTCAGAGGCCATCCAGGCCTTATTTTACAGCTGAGAAAATTGAAGTCCAGGGAGAAGTGACTTGCACAAGGTTCGTGTGTCAGAGGTGGCATTTGAACCCTGATCCTCTGATCCCACACTCGGGTATTTTTATGAACGGAGGATGTTGCAATGCTTGGAATTAGGGTTAGGAATAGGAATACAGGGAGGTGAGGCCACACACTTTCGAATTCGGGCTCCTGGTCCACATCCAGGGTTCTCAGCCCCAGCAGCTACTTCCTTCTTCGAAACCTTCCTCTCGGCACTTTTGAGTGCAGGCTGAATTCACCCCATTAAGCTGAATGTCCCGAAGCAGCGAGCACAGGAACGGAGAGCTCTGAGGGCCGCCTCGCAGCCCCGGGTGGGGGACGGGAAACAGGTGTTCCTGGCTCCCAGCCAGGTGCAGTCTCGAGGGGCTCGGGGCTAAGCTCTTCCTCGCACGCTTCTCCCCAGACTGAGCTCGCGTTTCCAAGGCTAGTGCCGGGAGGGTGGGGGTGGAGGAGGCCGAAGGGCGCTGTCGCTCTCGCCCGGCCGCTCTTTGCATTGGCTCTGGAGACGCCCCTGGCTCAGCCTCCCCGCACCGCCCCCGGTGCCACCTTGCACCAATGCCCTGGTGCTCTCCCCAAACTGCCTCCTCCCGTAGGCCAGGTTCGGAGCGAAGGCCGCCGCTGCCACCGCCGCGAGGAAGTGACTTCAGCCGGCCTCCCGGGGGAGCCCGGGAGCCCCCCGCGGCCCAGGCGTGAGGCTGCGCGGCCCCCTGGCCGGGAGCGCCCCGCCCCGGCCGGCAGCGGAGCCGCCACGTGCTTGCAGACGCAGCCGCTGCCAGGCTCCCGGGGAGCTGCAGACAGGCGGCCGGAGCTCGGGGGGCAGGTAGATTGCGGGCGTACGGCGGCATGGCAGCGGCGGCCGGACCCCGGCTGAGCGGCCGGGCGGCGGCGGCGGCGATGCGAGGTCTGCTGGGCGTCTGCCTTCGGGGAGCCCCGGCCCCCGCTCCTGCGGCCGCGAGCCTCAGTTGTAGCGCCAGGGGCTTCTGCACGGCGGCCGGAGCTGCCCCGGACATGAAGAGTTACCTGTGGGAGCGCTACAGGGAGGCCAAGCGGGGCACGGAGGGTGAGTGTGGCAGGCGTGCTGCGGGGCCCGCGGAGCTGAGCCCGGCTCTGGCCAGTGTCCACCCTCCCGGGGCAGCGTCCACCTTTCTGGGCCAGCGGTCCACCCCTCCCGGGCCAGCGCCCCCGCCCCCCCCCCGGTCAGCATCAACGCCTCCGTGGCCAGCGTCCCCCCCTCCCGGGCCAGTGGTCCCCTCCTCCCGGGTCAGCGGCCCCTCCCGCCCCCCCGCCAGCATCTACTCCTCCAGGGCCAGCATTCCCCCCTCTCCCGGGCCAGCGGTACCCCCCCCGGCTGGCGTCCCCCCTCCTGGGCCAGCGTCCCCCTTCCCGGGCCAGCGGTCCACCCCTCCCGGGCCAGCGTCCCCCCCCCCGGGCCATTCCACCTCTCCCGGGTCAGTGGTCCATCTGGAGGGTGGTCTAGGGAGGTGGGGGCGGGGGGAGAGGCTCCTCTGGCTACCTCCCGGTTCACGGCGGGGGCGGGGCTGCTGCCGAGCTTGCTTTCAGTTCACTGGGGCAGACCTTTGTTTTGAGCATCTACTTAGGGCCAGGCGCTTTTCTTCTCCGGGATTGGAGCATTTGCTCTGTTCAAACGGTTTGCACTAAGGGTCTGGAGGATACTCTGCGTATTAACATCAGTGAAGGGTGAATTTTCTCCCGCGGTGGCCACGTAGCTAGGCTGAGGTTCCTGGAAAGGAGCAGGTGGATGCTGGGATCCAGGTTGAAGCCAGCAGGATTTGATCTTTAGGGAAGCAGGAGCATCTGTATCCCCCTTGCCAACCCTTTCATGCCCTCATACTGATTAGCGTTGAACTTGACTTTCCAGAAGCAGTCATCTCTCGGTATTGTCCCAGGGAAAGTTTGCAAATGTGTCCCTTAGAAACTTTTAAACTTGTCTTCTAGGCAAAGAGCTCTTCCTCCCCTCCCCCACCCCCATTCCCCTGCTGCATCCTCCCTGCCTTTCCTTCTCTCCCTTTCCCTCTCAGTGTGTCTCTTCTATCTCTCCTTTCCCCCTCCCCCCTCAACCCCTTGGTGATGTAAACAAGCAAACAAAAAAATACTACAGTTCCGTGCTATTCAGAGATCCTGAGGTATTGTGGTCCAGCAGGGATGGTTTGTTCTCAGCTGTTCTTCAGAAAGAGAGGGGACTGTCAGCCTGGCTGGCAACTCCTGCTTGTCTGAGGAAGACTTTGATTTTTCAAGCATCTGCTGCCGAGATGGTTGGCAATAAGGGTGGGCTGTATGTTTTGGTTATGTATTAACCTCCATGAAGAGGGGCCTTTCTGGGCGTGAGAAAAATCAAAGTCAGCATGGCCCTGTTGCTAAGCAGTTGGTGACCATCACCTTGCTGCACCTCCTGTGCTAGTGGGCTGTGAGCTCTCTTGGAATTGAAAAAACCAAAAACATGTGTTTCAGCCTTTGTACGGTTGTTAGTGATACTTTCCAACAATCATACAAAGACTGAAGCAAGTGTTTTTGGCTTTTTCAATCCCAAGATTCCAGGAGAGAGAGGAATTTCCAAGTTTCCTTTAGCCAGAACACAAATATGCTTTTCAGTACTGGGGTCACCATGTCTTCAGTCAGGAGCCTTACTATTAGCCCATTACTTTGCGCTTCCTCTCCGTGGGCCTTGATTACTTCATTTGTGAGATGATGATAAACATCTGATCTGGCAGCATCAAAGCCAAGGACAGTGGAAGGAACACTGGACCAGGAGTCATAGAATCCTAAGATTTAGAACAGAAAGGACCTTTAGAGGCCATCTAGTTCAAACTCCTCATTTTATAAGTAAATTGAGGCCTAATGAGAGGGAATGACTTATCCAAAGTCACTCAGTAAGTGCCAGAGTCAGGATTAGAACCCAGGTCCTCTGGCACCATTCAGTCTTTGTATAGTGTGGCTTAATCCATTCCTTTTAGGCAGAGCAGGTATTTTGTACTTTGTTACAGATGAGGCAGTTGAGATTGGTCCAAGGTCACATGGTGATAGGACCAGAACCCATTTTTCCTGTCTTTTTTAAGTTCACTTCCCTCCAGACTATTCAGGGGGATAAATGAGGGACCATGTGAAATGGAGTTTGAAGCACCGAATTCTGCTGCTTGCTCTGGGTGTCGTCCTGGCTGTCATGTGATCTCTCTGTACCTCAGTTTTCATACCTGTAAAATGAAGCAGTTGGACTAGATGGGAGTTTTTAACCTGGAGTTTGTGAAGTTGCTTTTTTATTTTGTCAGATATTTTGGGAACTGGATTTCAGCAGAATTGGTTTCCTTTGTAGTTCTTTTTGGTTTATTACATGCACTTACAAACATGATTCCCAGAAGGGTCCATGGACTTCCCCAGTCTGACTGACTGTCCAAGGGGGCCAGGACACGGAGAAGGTGAAGAACTCCTTTCCCCCCATCCCAAACCACGTGACCTTCATTCTGCCTCTGCTCGGCAGTACAGCTGTGGCCTTGGGGAATCGCTTCACTTTTCTCTGGCTGTAAAAACAAGGACAAGATGAACCTTGAAGTTCCGTTGAGCTCTAAAATTCTGTAATTTAAGAAATGAGCATCTCGTCTCATTTCTTACCACTAAATGTTCTGCTAATGGTGAGATGACAAGAGCTGGCAGTTTGGTGGCACTGGGAGATTTGCAAAGGCAAACATTGTGTTCCCATCGTTCCAGCTTGAACTCCACTTGAGCAGTTGGTTTTTTTCCTCTAATTGGGGCTTGCCCTGCACTTGTATTGCTTCTCAAATGGAAGCTTGTTTAGAAGCTTTCTTTCTCTTCTGTCCCTCCATATCTCTCTCTCTCTCCCCCTCACTTTCTCTCTCCCCCACCTTCTCCCTCTCTTTCCCCCCTCGCTTTCTCTCCCTCTCTCCTTCTCCCTCTCTTTCCCTCTCTCTTTCCTCTTCTCTCCCCTCCTCCTTCCTCCTCCCTCTTCCCCTCCCCCCACCCTCCTCTTTCTGTCTCTTACATGCACCTATCCAGAGCTCAGTTATCCATAATGCACTTGAGAACCAGGAAAAAAAAACAATCAGGCTTCTCCCCATCCCAAACAGATGCTGCCGGCTCTTTTTGTAACATTGGACACATTCACTTGCTTTCTTGGAGAAGGTCCTTAGTCTCTTTCCTGGTGACTACACTTGCTTTACCCCTAAATTCTACTCCTATCACGTAATACAAAACAACCATTGTATGTGTATGTGTATATATGTGTGTGTGTGTGTGTGTGTGTGTGTGTGTGTGTCTGAATCTTGGTGATTTGTTTTTTAAGCCCAACATAGATTAGAAGCAGATGTTTGGAAGTGTGTTTTTTGGTATCGGGGAGACCAAACCCATCCCAGGGACAAGTGGCAGCAGGTAAAATTAAGGGAAGACGCAAGGATTTGCTAGGCATGGGAGCAAATGGCCATCACACACCGTAGCAGATCTGCAGGCATCAAGGCACTGCAATGCAGCCATTGATAGAAGGGGGGGCATTATCAGAACTGGAAGGGACGTTGGGGAGCATCTGGCCCAGCCTTTGGCCTCACAGATGGAGAAAACGAAGGTCGGGGAGTGACTTCTTTGAGGCCACATGATTAGTAAGCCTGAGAGACAGGGCCCACCCAATGCTTTGCCTCTGGAGCTGTTGACCTTTTTGCATGGTGGTGGTAGAGTGTCAGCTTCTTGAGGATGGGGGGACTGTTTTTCCTAGAATAGAGACTGGCACAAGTAGGTGCTTAATAAATGCCCCTTTAATGAATTGTTGGAGTCCCCAGTTTGCCATCTGCAGATCTTGTTTGCAGAGTTGTTTGCGTGGTTAGACCATAAGCTTCTCCTAAGCCTGGCATTTAGTACAGCCCTTGGCACATGTAGGGACTTAATAAATGCGTGTTGACTTGTTGTTGAGGGATGTAAATTAATTCACTTCAACAAATACAAATCAATTCAATTCAGTAAATGGTTTATCATGAAGCTACTATTTTTCAGGTCTTGTGATAGGGGCTGGGGATTACAAATAGGAAACATTCTGGAATCAGAAGACTTGTATTCCTCAATTCAAATCCGGCCTTGGACTCTTCCTGGCTGGGTGACAAGTCACTTCACCTTGTTTGCCTCAGTTTCCTCATCTGTAAATGAGTTGGAGAAGGAAATGGCAAATCACTCCAGTATGTGCCAAGAAAACCCCAAATGAGGTCACGGAGAATCAGATGTGGCTGAAATGACTGAACAAAGTACAAAATAGTTTCAAAGAGAGAGAAGATGCTAAGGGTGGAGAGGGTGAGATCAGGGAAGTCCTCCTGGAGAAAGTGGTACCTGATTTGTCATTTGGAAGAAGCTCAAGAGTTTTTGAGACAGAGATGAAGAAAAGAGTGCGTTAGGGGCATAGGAGACCACAGTGCAAATTGGTAAACAGCCCAAAGAATGATCTTTCCCACCTCAGGGCTCTTTCCCTTTCCCCTTTTTTTTGAGGTCTTTGCTGAACTGAGGCTTCTGTGTTAAACTCCATCTGTGACCTGTGCCTCAAGGCTGTAATCAAAGCTAACCTCGGTTTCCCCTCCTTTTTCCCCTTTGCTTTGTACTTTGGAAATATGGTGCTTCTTCGTATGTTAGATTAAACCCCATGAAAGGAACCTTTGTGTCCTTAAGGAAGTTCAAGTTTATAACCAGCCATTAGCCAACCATGTAGATAGTGTGGCTCTTGTTTTCTGCTACAACAGTGAATTAATTCAAGGGCATCTGATGCACAGACATAGCTGACTTGTAGAGCCAAGAATCCTGTGTTTAGAATCACAAGACCTGAGTTGGAATCCTGGCCCTGCCACTTATTAGCTTAGTGACCTGAAGCAAGTTGTGAAGTGACTCTGTGTCTCAGTTTCCACATCTATAAAATGGGGCTTAATGTACTTGCCAGCTTCCCTCACAGAGGAATCAGATAGAATTTAATGGTAGCTAACGTCGATGTAACATTGTGTTTGGCAAAGTACTTTGCCTACATTAGCTCATTTGATCCTCACAGTGTACTGGTAAGGGAGGTGC